ACGTTCTGATTCCTCTAGTGTATGGTGTGAACGTTCTGATTCCTCTATTGTGTGGTGTGAGCGTTCTGATTCCTCTAGTGTGTAGTGTGAACATGTTGACTTCTCTGGTGTGTGGTGTGAACATTCTGACTCCTCTAGTGTGTGGTATGAACGTTCTGATTCTTCTAGTGTTTGGTGTGAACGTGCTGACTTCTCTAGTATGTGGTGTGAATGTTACACTATTGTGGGTTGCCACACACCGCCACTCCCGCCATTATTACCTCCACCACATCTACCATTACCACCACCACAACTACCATCAACATCACCACCACAACTACCATCAACACCACCACCACCACAGCTACCATCAACTCCACCACAACTACCATCAACACCACCACAACTACCATCAACACCACCACCACCACAGCTACCATCAACTCCACCACAACTATCATCAACACCACCTCCACCACAACTATCATCAACACCACCTCCACCACAACTACCATCAACACCACCACCACAACTACCATCAACACCACCACCACCACAGCTACCATCAACTCCACCACAACTACCATCAACACCACCACCACCACAACTACCATCAACACCACCACAACTACCATCAACACCACCACCACCACAACTACCATCAACACCACCACCACCACAATTACCATCAACACCACTTTCACAGTTACTACTGCCACCACCACCACTACAACTGTCATTACCACCACCACTACTACAACTATCGTTACCACCACCACCCCAATTACAATTACCACTACCACCACCACAACTACCATTACCACTACCATTTCCATTACTGCCATTACCATATTCCCCACTAGTATCACCACTATTATTACCGGTATTACCACGCCATTATTACCATCACTACAACCCCTACCCCCACTACTCCAACCACCCACTCCACTACCATTTTCCCACTCCTATCACCGGTACAATTACCACCACCTATAGTGCCTGTACCACCATGACGTTACAGCCACCACCGCCACCATTACTGCCGCCACGTCTACACCATTACTACCAGAATTACTGCCATCACCGCTACTACTTCTACCACCACCACAACCATCATCACTACTACCAAATTGTGATTCAAAAATGATCCAGGAGGGGTCCTTTCCCAAGCGCGGATTTTTTGGTCTACCACCACCACTACTACAACATTCACTGCCACCATTACTACCACTACCATAGTCCCGTCAGTTTCTCCACAATAAAAGCTTTCACTTTTACTAAGAAGACCATCACTTGCTAAGATGCAGTCACTCTCCGGCCTATGCAACCATTCATCAGGTTTAATGTAGACTGTTCCTGTGAGTGCCCTGCTGAGATGACTGTCACACCTCATTATATCCAGAGATCACACCAACTAATCATTGACTAATTGGCACTAATTTCAGCGACGAAGTCACATGACTCATTCTGGTAGTTTTTAGTTACAATTTATAATATATAATTATAGTTTAAAATATATATATTATATATATATATATATATATATATATATATATATATATATATATATATATATATATATATATATATATATATATATATATATATATATATGTCGTGCCGAATATGTAAAACTGGTCAATTAGCAAAAACTCATTTAAAATTAAGTCCTTTCTAAAATTTTCTCCTATACGTTTAAAGGTATATTTTTTTCATTAATGTTAATGTAAAAAAAATTAATTTTGCACCAGAAGAATCTTAGAAAACTTACCTAACCTTATTATAACAAGCGCAATTTATTTTAGCCTAACCCAACTAAATATATTTTAGATTTGTTTACAATAATTTAATACTAAACAAACACAGCGAAATAAATTATTTTCCTTAGGTTCAGAATAATTTTGGCGAAATTATTGCATACACAAATTTTCGCTTGTCCTATATGGCAAGATGAACGTTGCTATTTAAGCCAAGATCGCAAGTTCTGCCTATTCGGCACGACATATATATATATATATATATATATATATATATATATATATATATATATATATATATATATATATGTCGTGCCGAATAGGCAGAACTTGCCATCTTGGCTTAAATAGCAACGCTCATCTTGCCATATAGGACAAGTGAAAATTTGTGTATGCAATTAGCAAGAACTCATTTAAAATTAAGTCCTTTCTAAAATTTTCTCTTATACGTTTAAAGATATATTTTTTTCATTAATATTAATGTAAAAGTTTATTATTTTGCACCAAAGGAATCTTAGAAAACTTACCTAACCTTATTATAACAAGAACAATTTATTTTACCCTAAACCAACTAAATATATTTTAGATACGTTTACAGTAATTTAATACTAAACAAACACAATGAAATATATTTTTTTCGTTAGGTTCAGAATGATTTTGGCGAAATTATTGCATACACAAATTTTCACTTGTCCTATATGGCAAGATGAGTGTTGCTATTTAAGCCAAGATCGCAAATTCTGCCTATTCGGCACGACATATATATATATATATATATATATATATATATATATATATATATATATATATATATATATATATATATATATATATATATATATATAGCCGTGTTTTTTAAGCCGTATTGGTTTATAGAACAGCTAAAATACTGCCCAATCGAGCGTATATTTGTTTTTGTCATAACTTCGAAAATCAGTATGAACATCACAGAAGGCAAGCTGAGAGATCTGAGTGAGTCTCCTTACACCTTATGCTCCTGTTCCATCCAGCATTAAATAGGTAGCATCCATGGAGTGGTGGTGTAATTAAACATAGGACTGGGCTTGAATTGAGCTAATGAAAGGAAAGTATATATTTAGTATGATACTAAATATATATATCATTTAGTATATTATAGAAATAATACTTATCGATTTCTTTGCAAATCCATCGTTGGTTTTATAAGCCTAAGATTGACAATGTTATGTATGAAAAGCACTATTAATATTGAAATACAATATTCCCTGACTGGTTAAAATGGCCACAACCGTTGCTCTTATGCATTAATGGATCCATTCCAGTTGTTATAATTTCTAAGCTAGCTTGGCTTTGTTAATGCTAAATTAAACAAAACTAATTAGTTTCATTACAACGCAAAAAATATATGTTACAAATCCCACCCGGGATTATTTTACTATTGCAATGCACACCTCAAGTAAGGTTCCTTGATGTTGTAACGGGCCGTTGGATTTAGGGCAATTGGATCTGAGCTCCAGTTCCCTGAAATGTAAGCCTTGAATGCTTCACAATTACCCCCCAAGAGCGTTATATTCCTCACACGGATCAGACGCTCCCCCTTGATTATAATAATAATAATCTGCAACTGCAGCCGGAAGATAGACTTTAATTGCCTTACAAAACCAACGTTCTCCTAATAGGAATGGTTGCACTGTTCAAGCAAGACGAGACTGTCAGCCGTTAACGACCTTCTCTAATTACTATCTCATCTTGTCTTTCGTAATCATTATCATCTTTACACATGCTTGATACAGGCATGACTTGCACTGAAGTTTACACGGTAGTTAAGCATAGAAATGAACTACTGCTAGTTATAGGGGAATAGAGTGGTTCGTGGAAGGTCGAGTCTTGGCTTCAACACTGTACCACGTCATCAGAATATATATAATATATATATATATATATATCATGTATTATATATATATATAATATATATATATATATATTATATTATATTATATATATATATATACGTATATATGTTGTGCCATATAGGTAAAACTTGTGATTTTGGCTTAAACAGCAACGCCCTTCTTGCCGTATCAGACAAGCGAAAAGTTGTGTATGCAATAATTTCGTAAAAATCATTCTGAACCTAACGAAAAAAAATGTTTCATTGTGTTTGTTTATTATTCAGTTATTGTTAACTTGTCTAAAGTATGTTTAGTTGGATTAAGCTAAATTAAATTGCGCTTGTTATAATAAGGTTAGGTAAGTTTTCTAAGGTGCTTTTGGTACAAAATTACAATATTAATTTTTATATTAACATAATTGAAAAAATATATCTTTAAACGTATAAGAGAAAATTTTAGAAACAGGTCAATTTTAAGCGAGTTCATGCTAAGTGACCAGTTTTACCTATACGGCACGACATTTTATATATATATATATATATATATATATATATATATATATATATATATATATATATATATATATATATATATATATATATATATATATATATACTATATATATATATATACTATATATATATATATATATATATATATATATATATATATATATATATATATATATATATATATATATATATATATATATATATATATATAATATATATATATATATATATATATATATATATATATATTATATATATATGTCGTGCCGAATAGGCAGAACTTGCGATCTTGGCTTAAATAGCAACGTTCATCTTGACATATAGGACAAGTGAAAATTTGTTTATGCAATAATTTCGCCAAAATCATTCTGAACCTAACGAAAAAAATATATTTCACTGTGTTTGTTTAGTATTAAATTATTGTAAACAAATCTAAAATATATATAGTTTGGTTAGCCTAAAATAAATTACTCTTATTATAATAAGGTTAGGTAAGTTTTCTAAGATTCTTTTGGTGCAAAATTAAAAATTTTTACATTAACATTAATGAAAAAAATATATCTTTAAACGTATAAGAGAAAATTTTAGAAAGGACTTAATTTTAAAAGAGTTCTTGCTAAATAACCAGTTTTACATATTCGGCACGACATATATATATATATATATATATATATATATATATATATATATATATATATATATATATATATATATATATATATAATTAGTAAATGTTTTAGAGGTAGAATGCAATCTGTCTTGACTCCTTATCTTCTCTTTTTTTTTGAGCTAGCCAGTTATACTTACATTTCCAGTTTGAGTTAAAAGATTTGTAAAGGAAGACCACGTCCATGTAAGTAACCATGTTGTTGGTGTTGCAGATGTTCACTTACAGCGTGCTGGGAGTGGGCTTCCTCTTCTTCCTCTCTGGTCTGGTCGGCTGGGTGGCTGGCGCCTCAGAGGTCCTCTGTGTCCTCAGACTGGTAAGTTATAACTTTTATTCGTATCTTTTGGCTCTATTATCCCTTACGCAAAATGTCTAGAGGTGGATTAACTTTTAGGCACAACAATAAAAATGCATATTAGTTGACTCAGGAATGATAAATAATACTTCGTAATTTGCATTGATTGGCTTGCCTTCAAAAACTCGCTTGTATGTACTCATCTATATGTGGTTGCAGGGGCCGAGTCTCAGATCCTAGCCCCACCTTGTTTTACTCCTGGCTCCGAGAGCCTTATCGTACCTCTTGTTAAAGCTATATACGGATCCTATCTCTATCATAAGAACACAAGAGAGAAGGAACACTGCTGCAGGCTTACTGGCCCATGCGAGGCAGGTCAGCATTAACAGCCTCGTTGATCAGGCCCTGATCCACCAGGAGACCTGGTCATGGACCAGGCAGCTGGGGCGTTGATCCCTGGAATACTCTTCAGATTTCCCTTCAGAAGCTAGCCAGGTCCAACTCACTCCCACCCACACCCACTCATGTATTTATCCAACCTATTTTTTAAACTACACAACGTCTTTGCTTCTATGACGGTACTTGGGAGTTTGTTCCACTCATCCACAACTCTATTACTAAACCAGGGCTTTCCTATATCCTTCCTGAATCTGAATTTTTACAACTTAAAACTATTGCTGCGAGTCCTGTCTTGGCTAGATATTTTTAGCACGCTATTTATATTCCTTTTATTCCTGTTTTCCATTTATACACCTCAAACATATCCCCCCTAATTCCACGCCTTTCTATATAGTGCAGATTCAGGGCCTTCGGTCTATCCTCATAGGGAAGATTTCTGATACATAGGATCAACTTTGTCATCCTCCTTTGTACATTTTCCAGTGTATTAATATCCATTCTGTAGAGTTGAAGAACAACCTGAGGACTCCTATTATTATTAATGCTCCTCGATATGAAGCCAAGGGTTCTCTTCGCTTTATTGCGAACACTTGTGCACTTGTCTTGGTTTCAGATTACTGCTAACCAGAACTCCCAAATCCTTTTCGCAATCAGTAATATTAAGGCCTACATTATATAGTTTATATGTCGCATGTTTTTTTTTTTTTTTGTCCAATGTTTAGAACTTTGCATTTGTATATAAACTGCATCTGCCACTTCTCCGACCACTGTATCAGACTATTCAAAATCTTCCTGGAGTGCTCTAATGTCGTCATTAGAATGAATTAGACGACCTATTTTAGTGTCATCAGCAAACTTACTTATGTCGGTATTTATTCCCTCATGAATGTCATTTACATAAATTGTGAACAACAAAGACCCAGTACTGACCTCTGTGAAACACCACTGTTGACGCGCCCCCACTCTGATTTCTCCCTATTGATGCAAACTCTCTGCTGCCTATATGTCAACCATGCCTCTACCCAGGAAAACATTTCTCCTCCTATTCCGTGTACCTTAATTTTCCTCAATAGCCTCTGATGTGAAACTATCAGAAGCCTTACTAAGGTCCATATACACAATATCGTATTCATTACCATGATCTACCTCCTCAAATACCTTGGTGAAAAAAAAAGTTAATAAATTCGTAAGACAGGAACGCCACTTTGTAAAACCATGCTGAGATTCATTAATCAATTTATGCCTTTCAAGATGGCTACGAATTGCCCCCCTTCAATTATTGATTCCATAAATTTTCCCACTGTGGAGGTAAGGCTTATTGGTCTATAGTTCGAAGCTGAGACCTGTCACCAGCTTTGTAAATAGGTATTACATTTACCATTTTCCACTTATCTGGCATTATGCCAGTTTGTAGTGATATGTTGAAAAGACTAGCCAAAGGTTTGCTAAGCTCCTGTTTACATTCCTTTAATTAAAACCCTTGCAAACAGTTCAATCATGGCCTGGGGATTTTTTCAGTTTAAATTTCTCAGTTTTTGGGGGACCTGTCATAGTTACCCTAATGTGCATAGTTTATTAAATGTGTTTTCATAATTTTAATTCTGGAATTTCTCTGGTATCTTCCTGCGAAAAAAAACTGAGAGGAAATAAGGGTTAAAAATTTAACATTTCCTTATCACTGTCAGTGATTTGACCCGAGTTATTTTTGAGTGGCCCAGTCTTGTCCCAAAATCTTGTTCTATATACCTGAAAGAAAACCTTTTGGGTTAGTCTTAAACCCCTTGCCACTTTAGCTCAAAATATCTTTTAGCTTTTCTTAAACCTTTTTATTTCTTTTAATTGAATTTTTTATTTCTTAATGCCATCCCCTCTTTGTACGGCTATTATCCCTCTCTTTTGACCATGGGGTGTTTTAATCTATTGTTTATCCATTTGGGGGATAATTTTTGGTTGATCTAATTTTCCCCCTTTGGAAAATAAGTTGTCTGGGCAGCTAGAACTATGCTCAAAAAAACGTATATTGGAAACAATACCACCACTGACCCATAATCGGTCGTTAATTTTAGCTCACCCAGGTTTTTTCTCGCCCCATGAAATGGCCCAAAGCGCAAGTCTGGGAAGAGACTTGATTGTGTTTTTTGAGAAATTTCCCATGTATATTGAAACAAAAGTGATTTGTGACCCCTTTTCCCCCAAAAGTCTCTTTAAACCCTAAGATTATTAATTAGTGTTTTCCTTGTTGCAAGAACCAAGTCAAGCAGATTGTTTCTTGTTGGTTGTCACAAAATGTTTTAAAAAAAATCTTGGTTATCAAGAAAGTCACAGACCAAGATTTCTGTCACATTTTCCAATCGTTTGTCTAAACTTAAAATCTCCCTTAAACAAATTATCATATCTAGATGCCTTATGTCTTTGTCCTAGCAGCTTATGTACTTCTTATCAAGATTTTTGGGGGCCTATAAAACACACCCCAATTATTTTTCCAACCCTCGGAAAAAAGCAAAAAAAATTATGTGTCCGATTCTTCTTTAACTTTATTGTCTAAAACAATGAATTTTAAAATTTTCTTGGGAAAGTTTATAGCCTTGTATGTGGCTTCAGGGAAGGGGAAATTTTTGTTTCAGGGTTTAACCGTTTCCGTTATAGCAATAATATCTATATTAATGACATGCAAGTAATTTAGCTCATCTATCTTATTTTTAGACTCCCATATTTGTATGTAAACCTTTAAGGAAACTACTGTACTCTTTGTTTGTTGTAATTGCTTTTGCCTTTACAAGCAAATTTCTGATAATGTTAAAAACATATCCCTGAGGTATCCTGGTAATATTGTGTTTGTCCCGTACTTCTTTTGTTGTTTCCCACACACACTCATACCCCTATAAATTTCAAACCTGACCACTTAAGATGAATAAATACTTCCCACGTTTGTCTTCGTCTCTCACTTGCACAGTTCCCGCTTCCTGCGCCCAGCGTCCGAATAATTTCCCTGGCAACCTTCAGTATTTATTTAATATCTTATCCTTTTTATTAACCCATCGGTTAGCCCCTAATTTCTTATTGCACTACTCAGCTCGACACTAGCCTCAATAAACTCTACTTCTTTTCCATTTCTTTAATGTTTGATCAGGTGTGGGTTGCATACTGGAGCCGCATGCTTCAGTATGGTCCTAACATGTTTACAGTGTCGTCAACGACTCCTTACTCATTTTCCTGAAAGTTAATCTTAGATTTACCAGACACACGTTTGTTACAACAGTTTTTTCCAGTTGATGTTCGCCGCAAGTTATATCCTCGTTACAGTGCTCACACTAAAGTTATTGGGTGAGTTTGCAGCCTTTGCGACCCAACTCTTCCACCGAGCCTGTACTCTTTGCCCATCTTTGATCTTCATAACTTTTCACTTGCTGTGACTGAATTCTAGCAGCCACTTCATTTGAAGTCTTTCCTGGTCTTCACTGGTTTCTTTTCTCCTCGTTAGTTTCATATCTGGGAAGTTGGATACCTCTGACTCTCTCCTTTCTCCCATTTCATTCACGTATACAAGAAATAGTACCGGTCCTAGTACTGATCCTTGTGGAACTCCAGTCGTCACATGCGTCCTTTCCAACTACCTCTTCTCGGACAATCACTCATTGTTTCCTTCCTTTTAAATATTTCTTGATCCATTGTAGTGTCTTTCCTGTTATTCCTACCTGCTATTCTAACTTTTGTCCTAGTCTCTGATGCAGTACTGTATCGAAAGCCTTTTTACAGTCCAAATTATGCAGTCTTCCCTGTAAGGAAGGATTTACCATCTCTAAAATCGTGCTGATTGTCATTATGAACCCACTCCTTTCAACCACTCTTCTCGTGTGTGCGTGTGTACCGGCACGTGCGTGTATCTAACTAACTATCTATATTATGGATTTTCACACGTTTTAAGCATTCATTTCTTTTATGCATTTGTGTGTGTATTTTATGTTCTAAACTGAAGAAGCTTGTTCTGAATTTGTACGGACATAATCCCTAATGGGAAAGCACGGTACAAATTGAAAAAAAAATACCCCAAAGAAAAGAAAAGCTAATTGAACATAAACTTTGTTCAGTATTGTTCTGCTGCCTAGGAGGCAGCAGAACAAGGGTTTTGTAAATTGTTTATGATGCTCGTGGGGTTGATTATATATATTCTGCTCTCAAAATAATGGCCTACATCCGAGTTCTAAATGTGGAAGATGCAAAATTTTGCTTTAGTTCTTTTTTGCTGGATATTCGGACTTGGATGACAAGTAGAAAAATTAAGCTAAATGAAGGTAAAGCAGAGTGAACCTCAGGGAAGCACAGACTTAGAGATTTTGGTGCCTTTGATTATCTGTTTGCATCCTGTGAGATCAGTGAAAGATCTGGGTGTTAACCTAGATTCTTCATTGTCATTTGTTAGACACATCACTCAAATTGCTAAAATCTTGTCATTTTCGCATTCGTAATCAGTATGTAGTCAAAATATTTTGATAAGCATAGTAGTTTGGTCCTTATCCATGCATTTTTCTCTCAACTTGATTTTTGTAATCGTTTGTGGGTTTGCCTAAGTACTTGTTAAAAAGACTTTAGTCTGTACTGAATCTTGGGTTTCCACTTGTCCC